GAGCCTGGATGGTTGTGGGTGTAGGGGCTGGGAGCCTGGATGGGGACTGGATGGTTGGTGGGGGTAGGGGCTGGGGACCTGGATGGCTGGCGGGGGGAGGGGCTGGGAGCCTGGATGGTTGGTGGGGGGAGGGGCTGGGGACCTGGATGGCTGGTGTGGGGAGGGGCTGGGAGCCTGGATGGTTGTGGGTGTAGGGGCCAGGAGCCTGGATGGCTGTGCGAGGAGAGACTGGGAGGTTGGCGCTGCGGAGCTAGGTTCTCACCATTGGAGCTGAGGAGGCTACTGCTCTCAGGGGAGGTGGTGGCACTGCGGTCCGGCGAGGGCTCTGGCTGTGATGCAGGAGCGGACCTGGTCGCCTTCCCCCTCAGGATGTCGATGACCTGTAGGAGGACAGGGGTCACCACCAGGCTCCTCCAGCCCACGATGCTCTCCCTCTCTCCAGTCTCGGCGTGCGCGGTCGGCTCCGTGCCTCAGTGTCCCCTGTCCGAGCTCGCTCCCACGGACCCACAGGCTGTCCCGCTCCCCAGCGCGAACGGGCACAGACACGCGCGCGCACTCCGATGTCCCATCCGCGCGGACCGGCGCTCGGGCACAGGCCCTCCCAGCGCGGACACTCACCCGGCGGCTGCGCGCCACCATGAGCGGCGTGTCGTTGTGGCAGTTCTTGAGGCCACTGTCGGCGCCGCTGCGGACCAGCGTGCGCACGAGCGGGAGGAGCCCGCGGCCAGACGCGGAGTGCAGCGCCGAGCTGCCCGAGTACATCTGCGCGTTCACGTTGGCGCCGTGCTGCGGGGCGGGAGCCGAGGGTCAGGCCCGCCGCGGCCCCGCGGGACCCGGGCCAGGGCGGCGGGTGGGGCGGGGCCACAGGAGGGGCGGGGCCGGGATGGGGTCCGAGCGCGGGGCTGGGGACTGAGGCTGGGCGACCCCCCCCCCCCCGACACCCGGACCGAGGCCAGGACCCGGGCGGGACCAGATCCTGGGTGAGGTGACGGAAGGGTGGAAACCAGAACCCAGGGCGGGTCAGAGCGGGACTGGGCGGACGGGCCGAACCAGCCGGAGCAGGACTCCGCCGCCCGGCCGGAGTAGGGGCGGAGTCCGAGAAACGAAGGGTCCAGAATCCAGGCGGGGCGGAAGGACCGCACGGGGAAAGGGTCAAAACCAGCCAGCGGGGTGAGCAAGGCCGCCGCTGCACCGGGCCCGGCTCGGGTGGGGGCGGGGGAGGAAAGGGAGCCGGTCCGGGACCAGAGGGCAGCCTTGGAGGGGTGAGGTCATAGACAAATGGAGGCCTAGAAGGGCGAGACAGCGCTGGAAGCGGAGCACGAGAGGGAGCCGGACCTGGAAGGCAGGGTCGATGCCAGGGACGGGGGAGGCGGGTGGGGGCGACTGCTGGGCTGGTGCTGGAGTGTGGGCGAGCGGCCAAGGGCGAGGGCAGTACCCACCTGCAGCAGGAGCTGCACCATGCTCAGGCTGTTGTTTTCCACTGCGTGGATGAGTGGGGAGCGGCCGCTTTTAATGTCCTGCAGAAGGGAGGGAAGGTCTCGGAGTCGCTCCAAGCTCTGCCCAATCAGCCGGCGGCCGGCATCCCAGCCGCCGGGTCTGGCGTCTCAATCCCCTTAGATACTTCAAGCCCCACCCCCACCCCCCGCTCGCGCGGCGCCCCACGCAAGCCCCGCCCCCTCGGGGGTCCCGCCCCGGCTCCTCCTGGCCCCGCCTCCGGCCCGCGCCCGCTCACCACCGCGTCGACGTCTGCGCCTCGCTCCAGCAAGAGCAGCACGGCTTCGGGGCACTCCATGTTCACGGCCACGTGTAAGGCGGTGAGCCCTGAGGTACAGGAAGACTCAGTGTAAACCTGGGTTTGGGGGCCCTTGGACTTCAGGTCTTGACAGACAGCCCCACTCGGCGCCGGGGTAGGTGCTCACCGTCGTAATTGCGGGCCTCTAGGTCCACGGTGCCCGGGGCTGCGCTGTCCAGCAGGGCCCGGAGGCAGGTCGGGCTGCGGTGCTCACACGCCAGGTGGGCTGCGGTCTGGCCATGACGGTCCAGTGCCATGGGGCTGGCACCGGCCATCACGAGGAGCCGGACCACAGATGGCAGTGTGGTGATCACAGCCAGGTGTAGCGGTGTCTGGGGGAACAGAGACTGTGAGGGACCTGTGCCCTGCCCTGCGTCCCAGTCCTGTCTCTCAGAATTTCCGAGTCCTGATCCCCAGCTCCAGTCTCAGTCAGGAACCAGAAATCTGGAGTACATCCTCCCTCAGATTCAAGAGCCACGGCCCCCAGCTCCTCCCGTCCCAGGATTCAGGAGTCTGGACCCTCGGCCCGGCTTGTTCCGTCAGATCCAGGCCCCCGGGCTCACCTGTCGTAGGTTGTTGTAGATATCCAGCTCCCGGCCCCCATGCTGGAAGAGGTTGACAAGCCGATGCACAGCAGGCAGATTGCCCTGCACCACGGCAATGTGGAGTGGCCTGGGGGCGGGGGAGGGGATCACAAGCGTTAGGGGCTGGTTACCTCTCGCCCCCATAAAATTAGTGGTGCGAACTCCAACATGTGCCGGGGACTTTGGAGGAACATCCAGAATCCAATCACTTCTGACCCTCGCTCCCTCCACCCTGGTTCAGCCACCATCGCCTCCCTCCTGCAAGGCTCCCTCCTCACTGGCCTCCCTGCTTCGACCCGGGCTCTACCGTCTGTCCCCCCCACAGCAGCCCGAGAGCCCTTTTTGCAACTTAAATCAGATCGAGCCCCTTCTCTGCTCAGGACCCTCAGATTAAAGGCCAAACAGGCCTTGTGGGGGCTTGTCTCCCCCTTCTCCTACCCTTTTGGCTTCTCCTCCGTCTGCTGTCTTCCCTCTGCTTTTCTTGATGTTCCTCCCAGGGCCCTGACACTGGCTGTTCCCTGGAACAGCGGCCCCCCAGACACCTGCAAGACTTGCTCCTGTACAGTTTACTTGTTTCCTGTCTGAATCTCCCCCGCTAGAATGTCAACTCCACCAGGGCAGGGCGTTCTGTCTGCTTTGGTCATGGCCCAGCGCCCAGGACAGCTGCCCGGTGCTGAGCCCCGCACACATGTACCCAATTAATGAACCCATCGCAGTGATCTCTAGCCAGCCTGGAAGCTGGGGAGCCTGTTCCCACCTCTCTTCACCCCCGGCTTGCTCATGTGTGAAATGCGCGGGGATGAGGCAGGTGCCATCGAGTTCCCTCCACCAGTGGTGACTTGCACGCCACATGCAGAGCATTTATTTGGAGGAGTGTTTGTCCAAAGGGGAGGTGGGATGTAGGGGGATGGCGTCCTTGTTCTGGACGCTGGGCCGCACGCATAACCCAGATCCCCCCTTCCAGACTGAAGGACTCATTCCCTTAGCTTATGGGAAGGTCGTGAGCTATCAGCTGTCTCTGGGAATTACCCTCTGCTGAAAAGAAGTGCTTTCCCGGGTCATGAGTGGGGGCAGCCGCCATCCACTGGCATCCCGTGACTGGGCGCTGCTGGCACAGAGGGCCTAGCCTCTGGCGCCATCTCTAAAGGCCATTCCAGCTGCAGCGTTCCCTGTGAGACAGCTCAGGCCCCCTGAGGCGACACAGCAGCCCAACTTCTGTGCAGTCCTGCTTCCTTCATCCCCACAGGCATTGATCTGGAGAGTATGTCCCAGTAAACTCCATGCGCCTTCCCACAGCCCCCAACCTGGAAGAGTCATTTAGAGTTGAGGGCAATCTGGGATGATGGGGTGTGTGTGTGTGTGTGTGTGTGTGTGTGTGTGTGTGTGTGTGTGTAGGGGGGACCATTAGTACTAAGGGTACAAGGTTAACTGTATATACACAGGCCACACAGCCTTCTTAAAGTCCATTTACTAGAGCAACGAGTTTCTCACCCATCACTGCCTGTTACTAACCCAAGCTGCCGGTGAGCATTGGCTCCCCCCATGGAAATGTGCTTCCAGAATCCATACTTTATTGTTTTTTTTTTAATTAAAAAATTTTTTTAATGTTTATTTTTGACCGAGAGCGTGCCCAAGTGGGGGAGGGGCAGAGGGAGACTACGAGGCAGGCTCCAGGCTCCAAGCTGTAAGCACCAACGCCTGACGTGGGGGCTTGAACCCACCAACCCCGGGGAATCATGACCTGAGCCGAAGTCTGACGCTTAGCCCACTGAGCCACCCAGGCGCCCCTAATTCTTAAGTTTTTAAAATCAGAACCCGACGCGGGGCTTGAACTCACGACCCTGAGATCAACACCTGAGATGAGATCAAGAGCTGGATGCTAAACCGTGGAACCAGGGATGGCGGCTTTGGGGGCTGAGCAGGCCAGGGTTGGAAGTTGGGGGCAACCCTCCCTCACTGCAGGTGCTAGAGCAAAGTCACGTGGCCCTCCCGTTTTCTCCCCCATAAAGTATAGCCCCCAACAGCGCCCACGTCCCAAGAGCAGCTCTGCAGGTGAAACGCTGAACCTGGATCCCGAACCTGGTGAAACGCCGAATTTAAAAGGAAAATGTTTGGGGGAGGGGCCGGGCCTGGGCCGGGGTGAGGGTGGAGGGGCGGAGAAGGGCTCCCTTGGCTCCCTTCATCTCCCAGGAAGCCCGGCCTGCGTCCCCCTCGGGGCGGGCAGGGTTAAGTGAGGGCAGAGGGAGCGAATGATTTCAGAGAAACCGTCCAGGCCCGAGTTCCCATAAACGCGCGGGCTGCAGGGGGTGGGGCGGGGCTGGAGGAAGTGGGGACGGGAGGGGCGGCCCAGCCCTCGGACTTCCAGTAACAGGTCTGCTGGGCGGGGCTCCGCTTCCTGCTCCCGGGGGAGGGAAGCCTCCCGCCGGGGATCTACCCCGGCCACCCCCCCCTCCCCCGGCACCCCCCCTTCCATCCTCGCCTGGGGGGTGGGGCAGGAGGGAGGCCAACCAAAGAGCCCAAGCTTCCCTGGAGGGAAGGACCCCCAAGTCTTGCAGCCTAGGGGCGCGTCTCGAACTCCACCCTTCAGGGCTCAGACTCCAGCTGCCTCCCTGTCCCCCATATCCCGGCATCCACCCCTCAGCTCTCTTAGGACCCGGTAGGTAATACGGTGCCCTAACTCTTTGCGGATACCAGCTTCCCCAGTGCCTGGGAGTGATCGATCCCCAAGTTGCCCTCTACCCTGTTGCTTAACCCCTCAGAGGAATACAGTACTCCGATCTCCCCTCTCTCTTGGAGACCCAGAGTTCTAGCTCCCCGGCGCCTGACCTCTTGAGGGTCCAGATGCCCTGAGATCGTTGCTCTCTTGAGTCCCTAGAGGTCCAGCCTCCCAACCAAGCTTTGCTGCTCTGGGGAACCAGACTTAGCGTGTCCCCCTCCCCCGCTCCCAGGCTAGCCAGCTGTCCATTCCGGTAATGTCTTGGCCCCAGCGGAAGGGGTTAAGGTTAGCTTGAACGCCAGGAGGGGGAGGCTGCGAGTGAGTGACGGGTGCTGACGTGGGGGAGGCAGAGCAGCTGGGCTGCGGTCAAGTTCTGCGGGAAGGGATTTCCCCCAGCAGGCAGCTGAGGAAGAAGTGTTCGCCTCGGAGGGGCGGGGGGGCCCCGGGAGCGGGGGGAGGGCGGGAGGGGTGCGGGCCTTGAGACTGGGGTGCCAGGTCTTCTGTGTTCACAGGCTGCAAACAAATCACCCCCGGGGGCAAATACAAATTAAATCTATTTCACAGATGACCCCAGAGGTACCCAGAGTGGGAGGGAACTAGTTTTGTTCAGCCTTTTAGGGATCAGGCACTTTCTCCTGCTTGGACTCACAGAGTGGCCCACAACCAGCTGGGAAGCTCTGTTAGAACATCTACTCCCAGGTGCTGAGGACCTACTGTGTGCCTGGCCTTGTTCTATGCTCTAGATGTAGGTACACCATTACGCCGAGTCTTAATCTGGATGGGTACTACAGGAGCCCTCCATTTTCCAGGAGGGGAAACTGAGGCTCGGGGATGTGCAGTCGCCTCCCTGGCCAGCGTTGGCGGTCCCCCTTTTTCTGCAGAAGTAAGCCTGTCCATTCCGTCCCTACCTCTTGTTCCCAGTCCCCAAACCAATGCCCAGATAAGCGCTTTATAAAAGTCATCTCACGCCTGCCTCGCAGACTCTCACACACTTAGAGTTCTTGTTTTTATAGGGGGAAACTCAGGCAGAGGGTGCGGGGGGGGGGGGGTAGAAAGTGGCCAGCAGAAGTTCCAACCTAGGTAGGTAAATAAGAATCGTGATGTTCAGGTGTGTGGTGAGCACAGAGCTAAACCATCCTGCGCAGGGGTTCTCAGCAGCCTCAAGGGCAAGTTCTCCAAGCTGGAGGCAATCAACTATCGGATTTGTGAAATCAGTTTAAGGGATGGGCAAATTAATTGAATGGCCTACGACCGTGGGATCAGGAAACACACTAGAATAGAAAACACAAAGTAGATCCCATCTAGCAAGGGTGACTTGTTTTGTTCTGCGCAATTTTTATTTCAAGCTTGTCTGTGTGTACATGTGCTGGGCTGAACATAAGGTAATAATATGAATTAATACTTACTGAGCATTTCTAACCGACCAGGCTCCATGCTAAGAGCTTAACGTGCATAATTCATACGACAAGTCAATCAATGAAATGTCTTTCTCGTGGTTGGATTTTTTTTTTAAAGAATTTTTGGGTGTATTTTATTTATTTAGGGGCGCCTGGGTGGCTCAGTCTGTTAAGTGTCTGACTCTTGATTTTGGCTCTGGTCATGATCTCACGGTTAAGTGGGATAGAACCCCGAGTCAGGCTGCATGTGACAGCAAGCACCCTGCTTGGGATTCTCTCTCTCCCTCTTTCTCTCTTTGCCCCTTCCCCGCTCATGCTTGCGTGCTCACACTCTCTCTCTCAAAATAAACGATTAAAATAAAAAAAAAACAATTATTTTATTTACTTAAAGTAATCTCAAATGTGGGGCTTGAACTCATGACCCCGAGATCAAGAGTTGCACGCTCTACCAGGCGCCCCTCTCGTGTTTGCATTTTGATAAATATGTTGATGCCCCCTGCTTCAAAAACAGTCCTAGGTTGTAAGTGCTGTCAGACTGCCCATTTTTCAGAAGAGGAGACTGAGGCACGGTGGGGGCGGGGGGGAGGGCAGGGGAAAAGCCTTGCTCAAAGTCACAGCCAGCAGTGGAGACAGGATTCTAACTCAGGTAGAGGTAATTCAGAAGCCCATGTGTTGTGGTGGGTGAGGTGGGGGGTAGGGCTGACTCCCCCCATTAATGGGGGGCTTTACTCACGTGTCTCCGTCCTCATCTGCACGGGTGGCCACGGCGATGTCAGCCGATAGGGGATGTTCCATGGAGCACACCATGGGGTACAGGGGTGTAGGCACGTTCAGGAGAGGAAAGAGGGACCCCATGGTCGGGGTCGGGTACAGGGGCAGTAGAGGTCCTGGACAGAGGAAAGGACATGGGTGGTGAGGCCAAGTCAGCAGACCCTCAACCCACCCCTACCTCCAGGCCTTCACCCCTCCTGTGTCACCTGTCCTTCTTTCCAGGTCCCTTTTGCATCTCATACTGGGGCTGAGAGGCCCAAGACAACCTGGCCTTGTACATCCATCTTCTGGGCTCTGGCAACTTCCTCCACCTTCACCATTCCCCCTGAGCCCTGGTCACGGTCATTGTCACTTACCTCTTCGTGCCTCTGACCTCCATCTCTTACTAGGCAGAGTCCCTTAAGGACGGGACTGAACCCCATCATCACCCAGCAGGGGACCCCAGGGCCTGTTTGCTGGGTGAATTTGTGGCTGAGGGAGGTAAGAATGGGTGTAGGGTGTGGGGTGACTGTGTAGAGAGTTGGGGAGAAAGGGGGTCAGAAGGAGAGAGGAATGGCGTCAGAAGCCAAATACGGCAGCAAAGACATATCCACCCACCACACAGATGGGGAAAACTGAGGCCTGGGTTCTCATCCAGGGAATGGGGCAAGGGGAGGAGGCGGTGGCAGGCTTCCTGATGCACAAGCTGAGGCTCTCTAAGTGCTGTACTCCGATGGGGTGGAAGGTGCAGGAACGGGGCCCAAATCTGGGGGCACTAGGCATGGGCTCTCTGCAGCTTTTGGGGTCACTCGGGGATGGTAAGGTGGTAGCAGATGCCCCTTCCTTGAGATCAGGGATGGAGAGAATGATGTTTGGCCTTCTTTATCATCTCCTGATCCTTGGGGGCCCCCATCCCTGCGCCCCCAAGTCCTCGTATCTCCGGTGCCAGCTCTTGGTGCCCTGCAGCCTTTTGCCTGGACACCCCTGAATTCTTCATCCTGGCCCTAAGTCCTCCAGTCCCAGAACTCCCCGGTCCTGGCCCGCATTCCTAGAACCCTAGAACCCTCAGTCCCCAGGCCTTGACTTTGTGACCCCCTGACCCTGTGACTTCAGATGAGCCCCTGATCCGTCCTGTGTGACTGTACCTAACTGGGTGCCCAGAGCCCCGGATCTCTGTCCCGCTGGCTCCCCAGGACCCCCTTCCCTTCCATCCAGATATTGACTCGGATGCTTCAGACTCCCACTCTGTTCTCCTGATTCCCACTATTGTCTGGTATCTCCTGGGTTCCTGAGGTTCTGATGTCCTGACATCCCTAGTATCTGTCTTCTTAGAATCCCAGTCGCTGTTTCCCTGACTGCCTTTCACACCACGGATCTGGATGCCAGGAACCCCAGTTTCTTGGGCCCAAGTGCTGATTCTGCAAACCCTAGATATCTGGGTCCTAACGAGCTTGTAACTCTGTTCTTGGGACTGTAGGCTCTGTCCGCCTGATTCCCTGAGACCCCCTATCTATGCTGCTGGGCACTGTCCCCTGGGTCCCCATATCTATGGCCTTCGGATGCTGAGCTCTGTCCCCCAGAGCCCCCTGAACAGCCGGTGTTCTGGGACCCCCATATCTGTGTCCCAAGGCTCTGCCCCCTCTCAGTTCCCCAGAAACCCCCTATCGGTGTCCCTGGGGCCTTGGGTTCTGTGGCCCCCCCCCCCCCCCCGTTTCTCAGCTCCCTGGGACCCCCTGTATGTGCGACCTGAACTCAGTTCCCTGGCTCTGGTGACCGTCTGCCCCGTCAGACCCCGATCTGGCCAGGACCCGTGGGAGCCACTCACCCTGGTAGTAAAGCGCCTCTGGCCGGGCCAGTCCGTGGGGGGCCGCGGGGACCGCCGGGGAGTCGGAGCCGCCGCCTAGGGGATCCGGGGTGACAACGGGGCCCGCGGCGCCGCGGGGGGCGGCGGGTTCCGGGGAGGGCGCGCGCAGCGGGCGCTTGCGGAGCGGC